ACTAGTACTACTGCTGCTACTACTGCTAGTAGTACTACTAGTACTACTACTAGTACTACTACTACTGCTGCTACTATTACTAGTAGTACTACTAGTACTACTACTACTGCTGCTAGCAGTAGTGGTAGTAGTACTAGTAGTACTACTAGTAGTAGTAGTAGTACTAGTAGTAGTACCAGTGGTAGGTCACATGGTCCACCCCAGGTGTGCGCTTGGTCGTCGTGTCTTACCTTGCAGGTTCTGGAGGGGCAGCGTCATGATGCCCCCTGCAGCGGCGGCCGCCACCAGACTCTGGATGTTGGTGGTGGGCAGCGAGAGGACCAGGCCCTGCTGCCCGCCCAGGTGCCCGCCTGCGTTGAAGGGGATGAGGATGGGCTGGTTCATGCCGGGCGCTGCTCCAGACATTACGCCACCTACTGCATTGGCCAGCTGCTGCGCCACCAGGAGAGACTGGTCGAACGGAAGCACAGAAACAGAATAGATTGGTGTTAGCTTAACATTTTCTGCTAAAAAAAAACAAAAAAACCCACTGTTTTGGAGTTGTATTTAAATTCCTGGATGTTCAGTGTAGGTAGTAAATCGATAAGGCAGACATGAAGGCTCCAAAAGAGTGACTAATCTTTGCAGCGCACCGACATTTTGCAGTTTTCTGTGTCACAAATCATCACAGTCGTTGGTTGTAATGCAGTTCAAATCTTAGTATTTTTTCTTTTTTTTTTTTTTGTGAGTGAACTGAGACGTTTTCAGTCACGGAGCCACAGAGCGATTTATGTTTCCACAGAATTGTGTCTTAAATACAGTAAAGAAAATGGAGGCGCTCCTGTTCGGATGAGGGATGTAACATTCCACTCTTCATGTTCCCATTTATTCATATTAGTTAAAGTGGAATCGGTGCAGTCACCCATAGAGGAGACGATATGTTATCACAGGCGTGGCTGTGAGGTATTCTGCACAGAATATCATCTGTTTTATTGCCTTCTGAGAGAGAGAGAGAGAGAGAGCGAGAGAAAGTGTTTAGGAAAATACAGCAAAAAAAAAAAAAAAACACGTTTTAGTGGAAATTCTGAGGTCGGAAAAAGTCAGGTTTGTACAGCGGCAGAAGAGCCAACGAATAAAAAAAGAAAAGATGTCTTAAATTATGATTATTGACATCTCAAACATTTTGTTCTTAACTGCTGCTAAAAATAAAATCCACAAATTGATCCTACAAATACAGAATTTAGGTGGTTTGGAATTAAAATAAAAACAAAAACAAACCCCAACATTGTCTTCCTGTGATGTCATGTGACAAAAGTAACTGAAATTAGTTACTAGTTCAAATGATTATCCAACACTTTCGTTCCTTTTGGTAGAAACTGGACGGGATCTTAACCTGCTCAAAACAACATAGCAAAGGCTACGCAACATGAACTGATTCTATGTAAGACTGTGATGTGTCTGTTTTTTCAAGGACTGGTAAAAATCCCGTCTAGACAGGGTTCAAATCATCAAGTATGGAAAAGTACGGAAAAGAGCAGCTGTCCGTCGAAGCCACCGCACCGACCGAGAGTTCAAAAAGAGGGCGCTGTTCTATCAGAACCTTTGTTAAAAGACCAAGGTTTGTACTGTTTTTTTTCACAGTCACCAGTTTTGTCTCATGTTGCATGGCCTTTGGAGTGATATTTTGAGCAGAGTAAGAAGTGAATTAATCTCAGTTAATCTCAGTCCATTTTTTCTTCTCTCTCTGATTTTGTCTGATTAATAAAAAAAATAATTCATGAACAGCTAACGAGGCCGGCTCTCTCCTTCGGCTTCTCCAGCCTTCATAACGCCGTTACGTCTGCAGCGTGCGTTAGCTGCTGAGCGGACAGAGCCCACCGTACTGGAGCTGGTGGGTGACAGATGTGTCACTGCGATAAAACCCTGCACGCTGCAGAGCGCCTGCCCCCGCCCCCGCCCCCGCCCCGACATGTGATCACCGTTTATGAGGTACAAGGCCACAAAGGCTGGAGCCACGCAAGCACGATGGAAGAAGAAAAGAAGAAAAAGAAAAGAAAGGAGAGTAAATATATCTGGTTGTGTTTTTAACCAGGTGAGGGAGTCAGATGAGCACACGGAGGTGACTGTCGTCGTCACGATGCGTTAGATTCGTCTCTTTCAACGTTCGCTTTGATCTGCAAACTACAAACAGCCGGTAACCGATGGCAGCGTCTGATGCTTCAGAGAGCGTCCTCCCTGACATTTGCCATTAACTTTAGAAAAATGAATTAATAATTTTGGCAGCTCAAAGGATTCTCAGAGGACAATAACAGACGCCACACGTTGGCGCGACGCGAGCGACAAAAGTGAAATCTCCGCGTTTTAAAGCGTGTTTAATCTCGACTCCAAGCGGCTTTTAATCAAAGGCAGCCTTTGAACGCTCCGTCTCGGCCTTAAACAAAATGAGATGGCGGAGCTTGACAGCTCACATGTCTCACGCGGCAAGAGAATAACATTAAAAGACAATTGTACAATTATCAGATGTAGCCCTGATTTATTCATCATTACAGGCAGCGCTGCAGCCCAACGCAGCTGTTACGGGCGTAAGCAGCTGCCAAGAGACGGCACTTAAGAGATTTTTTTTTTTTTCTCTCCTCTCTTTGACAGCGCTTCATCTTCAGGCTGTTTGTTGAGCCTGTTTTTTTATGATCTTAATCTGAGGGGAGACGACGAACATGTGCATAACCAAATCTGAGATTATGAAAAATTCAGCCTTAACATAATCAACCCAACGACGCGACAAGCCTCCACATCACTCCAGCTCCAGTTGCCTTTCCCGGCCTGACGTTCTCCCTCCTCCTCTAAGCCTCCACAGGTGATGGTGGAACGCCGCTCTCCACAGCCTGGACAGGCCTGACAGCTGAGTGTTGAGAAGTGGTCTCCTAGGGGCCACACGGACCAGCACAACTGGGTGTGTGTGTGTGTTTGGCTCTGGATGGATGGAGGGGGGGTGGAGGGGCCCCCCGTTCAGGACTCAAATGTGGTACCCTGCCTCTCTGCCCATCAGGGGAGAATAGGATATTCCGTCTGCTTGGCAGCTCTGGCACTGAGAAATTGCCCATAATCACCCAGATAGCAGACTTTTGTCATCCTAACTGCAAGTGGGAAACAGAAGGAAGGTGGATTCATGTTGGGTAAACTACCGTTGGGTAATGGTTGTTCCAACAATATCTGGCTCTGCAGCGAGAATCTATCAAAACATATTGATCCTGGAACAGGAGAATTGGCCGTGGCATGCGGAGCGCCTTTGTTTCTGAAAAGTGTTAGCCTCGCCGCGACTGTACTGACAGCATTAATATATTAGACGCCGACCGCGGAGAGACGCCCGCTGAGGCCCCGTCGGGCTTCTGTGGCTTTTGGGTTTTATTTCTGGTCAAAAAAAATGCTGATGTAATGGGAGAAGTGCTCCTAACGAAGCTGAAGTTGGTGTCCAGACTGAGGTGGACTGAGGTGGAGCGTTCTCTCTCTCTGTGCTCGGCTGTTTCTGTCTCTTTGGTTTTTAACCTGATGAGTCGACTGTCACTGAGTCACAGAGAGCGGCCCCTTAGAGAGGATATGTGTGAATGTGTGTGTGTGTGTGTGTTCATGGTATAGCTACAATTGAGGGGGACACTTTTTTTTATTTTTGTGGTCAGTCTTTATGTGGTTATTCTCAGGTTCAAGAATTATTTATTTTTTATCAAGGAGTTTGAATTTGAATAAGTGTCAGATCAGAGTTACGCAAAGTTTGGGTTAAGTTTGGGTTTATTTATATATATATATAATAGAAAAGGTTAAGATAAGGTTAAGTTGCTAGGGCAGCAATTATCAACTGGTGGCCCGTGGGCCAAAGCTGTCCGTCCAAACCATCCATACCGGCCCGTGACTGGATGAGCAAAAAAAAAAAAAAAAACAACAAAAAAAAATAAAAAAAAAATTTGTTTTTTTTTCAATTTGTGTGACAAAACACACACAAAAAAAACAGTGTACGTGTGTGTGGTTCTACGTCTGAGGAGATTTCTTTAAAAAAAAAAAAAAAAATTGTCCTGAGGGGACATTCTGGAGTTGTTTTTAGCGTTAGCATTACGCTCAGATTAAGGGCTAAGGTCCTGGTGTTCACGTGGCAGTACTACAGTTCTGGGGACGATTTGTCCGTTTGGGACATTTTACAGGTGAAGATTATTGATTTATTTGGAATAGTTAGGATTAGGATTAGGATTAGGGAATAAAATATCTGTACAAAGAAGTGCTTACTAACACAAATGTGTGTGTGTGTGTGTGTGTGTGTTCAGAGCTGGCAGTGAGCAGCACTAATGAGATGGATGTTCATTAAACAACCCACAGCCACCGGGCTAATAAATCCAATCAGAGCGTCCGTCGGCTGAGTGAGTCGTTAACAGGGTGTTAACGGAGCTGCCGACCGAGGCGCTCTGCTCGTCCGCTTGTTACAATAATGTCGTTACTGCCGCCTCATTAGTGCCGCCAATTAATTAGGCTTTAAAGATAATGTGATGTGACAAAGTTGTAATCTCCCGCTCTGTGTGAGTCCGACTCTCAGCACACGCTCATTAAAAAGGATCGTTAACTTGACGCGGTGAGAGGTCGAATTATTCACCCAGGAAATCATTAGTTTATCAAAAGAAAAAATATAAACCTGTAAATATATAAAATATGATCAGATAAAAGAAAAACACCCCAGCTGAAGGAATATTTTTGTTCCTATCAACAAATCTGGAAAAAAATATTTTGACTTTAATCCTAAAATTAAAAATGACATTTTATTGTGAGTTAAATACTGGAAGAAAAAATGAAAATATTTTTTTCTCCAAATACTGAAGTTTTCAAACTTCTTACAACAGTATTGTTTTTTTTTTTGTAGAACTTTTTTACAACTATAGGTTTTTTTTTTTTTTTTGTAGAACTTTTTTACAAATAAAAATAATAAAACTGTAGTTTGACGTGACCTCACTCACCTGTGGTCCCATGTGGTATCCTGGGTGAGACTGGCCCAGCTGACTCTGCTCTGAAGGACTGCTGCTGGCGTCAGACTGGACCGAACCGTCCCGACCCCCTGAGGACATCGCAGGGAGGACGGAGGAGGACGGAAGAGGACGGGGGAGGAGAGAAGGAAAAAGATCAGTGAAAATAAACACAACAAAACACACTCTTCAATCAAGGATATTAGAATAATACAGTACATACAGTATGGTTTGATCAATAACAGCTGTAGAAGTCAACAAATTACCAGGGAGCGGAGAGAGGAATATGATAAACACAGGTGGGTCTCTGTAGGCCTAGACCGCTGCTCCCTGACACCGAGGCTGGGGCCGTGTTATTATTCAGCCATTTACATCACTGAGTGTCATCTAAACCCCCCCTCCACCCCCCTCCTCTCTCTGAGCCTGCAGCAAAGAGACACAATTAGACCTGTTTGCTGTGAGGGCAGAGCGGGGCAGAGGACGGGGTAATAAGTCGAATGATGCCCGCGGGGCAGAATAAAGGACAGGTATCAGCTGGAGATGAGAGGAGTCTCAGTCTCTGATCAGTATCTGAGCAGTCTGTGGGGGGGGCACCCTGACCCTCCGACCCTCATGATATCAGGTCCACATGACACCGCGCCGTGACGACAAAGTCTTGAATGTCACTAATATCATTCTCCAAGGCAGGGGGCGCCAACAGATACAGACCGAGATACTGCAGTATCTGCCACCGGATACTTCACCACGGACTAGTTCTGGGTCCAGTTCTAGTTCTAGTTCTAATTCTGGTTCTGGTTCTAGTGACATTTTGTCCAGTTCTAGTTCTGGTTCTGGTTCTAGTGACATTTTGTTCACTGTGGAACATGGTTTTATTGGGGCTAAAAATCACTTTCTGTTCAACTGGCTGATCTAAATATACAGTTTAATATATTTGTATATTGTATTAATGTAAAGAGAGGAGAAAACAAAGGACAAATATTCACTCATTTTCTAATTCTTTTAAGTTTTTAAAAGATTTCACATATTTCTAAAGTTGGATTCTTTTTAAGGAAGAAGACATTATTATATTTGTATATAAAAAAGACAATGACGGACTAAGGTCAGGCCAGTGATACAGACAACGCAGCATCACGATGTTTACATTTTAACACTATCAACAGTTTCCGATGTGAAGCAGCGACGTCGACACCTCGTGTAAAAACATGTGAAACTTGTGTCTGTAAAAAAAAAAAACAACTTCCAGCCTTTAATCCAGGTAGATGATTCACCGGTAAATAATAATAAGAAGAATAAAAGAAAAAGAGAAAAACGTGAATCCGATCTTTTCTCCAAAGGTTAGGTCACATTTCCACATCGTAAGAACAACCAGGCTTTTATACGAAGTGGGAATAAAGAGTTATTTTAATGCGCTGCGTCTTTTTACCTTGAGCTGAAGAAAAGCCAAGTTTGTGAAAAAATACGTTTGAAACCTTTATTAGGTTTCATTCAAGGCAGCGGTTTGAAAAGACACGTTATCACATTTCTGTTATGGTGTTTACAGGAAAAATAATAATAATAATAGTAAGTGTTTTTCCTTTTATCATGTGTGAAAAGTCTTTTTTTTTGTCATGAAAGCACAGCCTTGGCTGCAGGAGCTCATCGTCTGTCAACTTTATTTACACATTACCTTTTAAGCACGCCAACTGAAATCACTTCATCTTTACATAAAATCCAAATAACTGGTGAATGGCGTGACCTGACAATTGAACCTGAAGCGTGTGATGGATGACGTGACCGACCGACCCTGCTCTGCTCTGAAGGCCCGCGCTCCTCGCACTTACTTATCAGACACACAATGAATATTTTGACAGGCCGCTCTCTTTTCACCAATTATCTCAGCCATTAGGGATCGGGCTGTGCACAACAGCACCCCACACACACACACACACACACTTTCATTGCTGGAGTTAAGATCAATCTGAAGTTGTAAAAGTCGGTGATAATGTAAAAAGAGAGTTCTTATAATGAGATCACATGTTTTTTTCGGTCTCTGAGCGCTTAATTCTCACTGTGGTCGTTAAATTAATTTCTTGCCTTTACCAACAGGGCCAATAGGTGGCAGTGATGCAACTTAAATTATGCCAAAATAATTCCCCAAAAATAGGTGAGTTGGGAGAGTGTCAGTCATCCAAGAAAAAAAAAATTAAGTTGTCGAAAACTTGTAAATCTCAACCTCAAAATCGTATATAGGGCACCCCCTGCAGGGGAGTCACATGCTCTGCATAAACAAACCTTTATATTTAGGATATAAATGACTTAAATATAACAGATTACTGAATTTTTTAAAAAATTATTTCAGAACACAAACCCTAAAAAAATAAAAACAAGAAAAGTTTTTATACTGCAGTAAGACATTACCACAGAGTTTTAAATGCGATTTAAATGCGATCGCTCCTATGCTAAGATAGCGGCTGCGTATATTGTATTGTATCTCATAAACTTAGCGAGTAACGATTCCTTGATGCGTTTCACTGCAGCGTTTCACAATAACTCATAACGCCTCGTGCCCTCTGCTAATATCTGTAAGGTTAACACGTTTATCTCAGGGATGAAAATCAATAATAAATAAATACACATGCACATTTTCCCCCCAAAGGACGGGTGTAATTTTTTTAACTAAATTAAATGGCTGACAGGGGAATTACCCTGGGAGTGGATCTTTAATTCTTCTTTATTACTTGAACCTTTTTTTTTTTTTTTTACTTTTTTGTCGCATTTTCCCTTTTTATTTAATATGGAAGAATATTTAGGAGAATTGAAAATAATGACGAGCAGCAGAGTACACAATATTAAGAAAGAAAACACCACGACTGGACCTTTTAGGGATAAAAACAACATTCTTTGATGCTGTGATTATACACAGGTCAAATGATGAATAACAGCCAGTGAAAGTATGTATCGACGTGAGCCGAGATGAAAGCACTGGCAGAATGCATTAAAGCGCGGGCAGCGCACGCTCAACTTAGCTCGCCGCTCATCAAGGACACTGGCGTTTTAGTCCTCTTTTGAATTTCCGCGCAATTGAATCTCACTCCTTATTGTCCTCAAACCTCACCCCTCATTGTGACGGACACTTTTGTTGAATTCTAACGGCCCTGGAATCCAATTACCAGAGAGAAACAAGCCTTAATTCCAGTGAATATGATACACCTCTGAATGTAAAAATGAAGTGATAATATTCGTCCGAGGACGCCGGGTGCAATTTGACGTGACGTATGTCAAGGGAAATATTGCCAATATCCAGCCAACATATAAAGTCCCTCTCATTGATCACCAAAGTGGCCACCCGAGAGCCACTTTCAATGCCGCACAAGGCGCAGGGCCACTCTGTACCGCGACTACGTGTGTTTATGGAGGCGGCGGGCGGCGGAGAGCTTTATTTATTTGACTTCATCGGACCCGTCTTGATGCGAGGGAGCCCCAAGGACTGCGCCGGCAAACAATTAGCCTGGATTTCACGAAGCAATCAGCGTGGCACCTCGTCTAATGCAAGTGCTACTTACATTGACAGTCGGAGTGAAATGGGCGTTATTGAAAGCTTTGTGCTCCTGTTAGCTTTCGCCTGGATGCATTTATGAATCAATTTTTGCCCATAAAAGAGGCTTTAACACTTTAGCTATTTTAGTGCAGATGCATTATGTAAGTCGTCAAATGTACGAGAGAGAGAGAGAGAGAGAGGGAGGGAGGGAGGGAGAGGGAGAGGGTCGTGGTAGCGGAGGAGGGGTGGTGGGTGGTGGTAACGATTCAGGCAATTCAGACTGAACAGCCGACCCCCATTTTTATAATAGTCCTTTTGAAAACGTCTGGCTGAGTGCATGTGTTTGGGATTGAGATGCTGTCAATCAATCGGCGGCAGGAATGTAATCCGTCAGAAATCCAGGTTCTAACAGAGTGATGTAAATGAGATCATATAAATCACAGTCATTCCCACTGACGCCATGACAGCACTCGCCTGAAGATGAGGTGATTGGTTTTTTTTTTTTTTTAAATCATCAAGTGCGGGTTAAGTGGCGGAAACCACAGCGACCGTGACGGTCCGCTGGTCAGAGCCGGTCTACGCCTGAAGCGGTTGGGACCGGATCAACATCACGCAACACTGTGGCCTGGGTTAAAAGTCCATCGATATGAAACAAGCGCCATTGATTGTTTGACGATTGATTTTGTTGAAAGCACGTGTGGAGTTTTAACTGTGTTTAGACTTCCAGACAAATGGACTGAAGTCAGAGAATGACAACGTTATGAGGCGGCAGCAGCAGCAGCAGCAGCAGCAGCAGCAGCAGGAGCAGCCGCAAGACAAACTGACCTACAACAGGTGCCTCCTAAATTTGTTGTCCCAAACTTCCAAAATGTTTTTTCCGGCGTGAATTTCCGCTGTTGCTATCCACATTTCCCTTACTAAAAAAATTAGCCCGCTAACTTTGGTTTGCACATTCAAAGGCATTAAACAGCAGTAAGTGACAATCTACTGCAGTGATCATCAACTGGCGGCCTGCGGGCCAAATCTGGCCCGCCCAATTGTCCAATGTGGGCCAGGACTGGATCCAAAAATATTGAGGATCAAAAAGAAAGTATCGCGTGGTTTGTTCTTGTAACGCCTCCGGGGTTTCTGTCCAGAAAAATTCTGTCCCTCCAATAAAAAAGTACTGGTACTGTTCTTTCGGCACTAGCGAGTACATAAATGAAAAAAAAAATCACATCAAGACCAAACATAACCAAGCTATGGTTCGTGTTGAGCCTCTGAGTTTGATCACTTTAAAAGGAACAAAGAGGGAGTCAATTATTCTCAACAGTGATTTTTTGTTTTTTCTTCAACGTGCTCCGGTGCCCAGAGGGTGGCAGTGCAGAGAGCAGGCGGCTCATATGCAGCGTGTGGTTAATGCTGATTTACTTAACGCGGTGTAGAGTGTAGAGTAAATCACTGGGTGATGTAGCTCAGCATTTCATTACTCCCTCTAAAGCCCTCAACAATAACACGGGGCATAATCTGCTGCCAATAACTGCAGGTGCTCTTAGCTGGATGGCTCCCCCTGGACCCACGGGCCAGAAATATTCT